TAGTAATGTGTATTCTATTTGGAACCATAAGCAAGTCCTCTGGGTTCTGCCAATACCTTATTCTAGAAGTTAAAAATTAGAACCAGTTTACATTATGATGACCAGAGACATATTTCCCAATGCAGAAAAACAATCAGTATCCCATTTCTTTTCTTGTACTTTTTTTTGTTTATTCTAGAGTTTAATTGTCTTATTGGTTATTTTCTTTTTAAGAAAAATACCTTCATTTGTTGGGGCTGAGGTTGTGGCTCAGTGGCAGAGCACTTGCCTCGCACATGTGAGGCACTGGGTTTGAACATCAGCACCACATAAAAATAAATAAACAAAATAAAGGTATTTTTTAAAACCTTCATTTGTAAATGAGAATTTTTATGCCATTGAAGGTTTTTCTTTTCTTTTTTTTATATATATTTCGCAAAAAAAGACAATTAGACTTATACTTTGAATTATAATGATCATCACATTCCATCATCATTAATAACCCCATGCCCCCCCTTTCCCTCCAACCCCTCTGCCCTATCTAGAGATCATCTATTCCTCCTATGCTCCCACTTCCTATCCCACTACGAATCATCCTCCTTATATCAGAGAAAACATTAGACATTTGGTTTTTTGGGATTAGTTAACTTATTAATGATGGTGGAATGTGATGATCATTATTATCCAAAGTACAGGTACGAAGACACAAATTGGTGTGAATATACTATGTATACAACCAGAGATATGAAAAATTGTGCTCTGTATGTGTAATAAGAATTGTAATGCATTCTGTTGTCTTATATAAATAAAAAAATGAAAAAAAAACTTAAAAAATAACCTATTACATAAAAAAAATTAGAGGGTTTAGGGTTTTTGTTTGGTTGGTTGGTTGGTTTTAAAAGTTAGTGTATAGTTGATACACAGTGGTAAAGTTAAAAATTCATAAGTTTAGTTCTGCCTTAGGGTTTTGAGTAAATGTTATAAATCATAATTCCTATTTACAAATCTAGCATATTTGAGCAATTATTTTTAAAATCACTTTTGAAAAATGCTTGTTCCATTTATAAATTTAGCTAATTAGACCCTTAAATATTTGAATTACATTTATAAATTTAATATTAAATATCAGTTTTCTACCCTAAAACAAGATCTCAACTAACAAGTAATTTTTATTTTAAAAATGATTAGTCTAATTCAATTACTCAATTACAGATTTCAAGTTAGTGTCACAAGACTATTGCTCTAACAAGATGATAGAATTCTAAGTTTGCATAAGTTCCTTAATTCGGGGTGGGGAGCGGTGCTCTGGGGTTTGATTCTTTTCTGATACTTTTCCACAAAAGAGAACAATTATCTTTACAGGTAAGACTACTTTTAAGCAGTTCTCTACCTAATTATTTTTGTTCCCATGGTTAAACAATACTCATTTCCTAAGGAAACAATTTCTTGGTTAACGGAGGCTACTTCAAACCAAACATTTTAACTGGGCAAGGAAAACAATGTTACAGACATCCACAGTAAATATTATCACTACTCATTTAAAAACTATCATGTCATCTCAATGGACTTTGTAGATTGTCTTATTAAATGCTCAGATTTTGGCTGGGATGCCACGGATTCTGGTTGGGGACATTGATATGAAGCACTGAACATATTTATACCAGCAGAGAAAGCAGGCAGCTCATATATATGTATCCAAGTTAAATATACTATCTAATTCCTCAGTTGATGCATACAAACCTACAACCTCATTCAAATTGATTACTTGTTTGGATACTGCTTTTCTTTGGCCTGTACAGTATGGAAATGTTTTGTGTGAGTGAAAAGATTTTTAAACTTAATGGAAGCCTATATTCTTTTTATGCACATCATATTATAGGACTTAGGATCTCTTAAGGATATGTCCAGTTGAATTCTGGGTATTTTTTCTATATGATCACAGTTGCCAAGTCTACTTACTGACTTTCAAAGTTTTCCACTATCTCCATCTAATGTCTGTCTAATCTTTAGGGTTCCGCCACCCTCAGAAACATATTTCCTAATTCCCTTCATCCTTCCATTGCTGTCTACATTTTCATTCCCTACACTAATACAATTAATGTCATCCTGGGATTTCCTTTTACTGATTTTCTTAATTGGTACATTTTTTTTTTCTTGAATCTCACCTCTCCCCCCTTGGTTTACTTCATTTTTCTCAAGTATATCCTCAAATGACTTCCTAAGAAATGATATATGGAAAATGAATTTTCTGTTTACTTACATGCATTTACATGTATATATTTACAAGTATTTATTACGGTCTTACTCTTCATTGATGGGTGAAAAGCATTTTCCCACAGAATTTCAATATGCTATCTTTAGTATTCAGTGCTTTTGATAAAAAGTCTAATTTTTTCTAGTTTGTGTTTTTTTTATTTTATTTATTTTTGTGCATGTAATTGTTTCCATGCTCATTTTTTTCATTTCTGGACAATTCAATTATCTCCCCTTTATCTTAAAGATTATATTTGTATCACAGATATTAGGATGTCTTTAGACTCAAGGACTCTCTGAACCTGGAGACTTATGTCTTTCATTTCTGGTAAGTTTTTTGTTTTTATTTTTGGTTTATTTGTTTGTTTCATTTTGTTTAGATTTTCTGTTTGATAGTGTTTCCCCTCTGTGTTCTATTTTTTTTTTTTCCTGGAAGTTCTCTTTAGTTCAATATTAGAACCATGCTCCTGGTTCTTTATTCTACCTATGTTTTCTGTTTATTTTCCATAAGTTACCATTTCATTGCAACTTCTGGAACACGTTTTCCACATTATCTTTCATTTCTTTTATTGAATGTGTTTTAATTTTTGCAACCTCTCCTATTAATTATTTTAAATATTTATTTTTTAGTTTTAGGTGGACACAATATCTTTATTTTATTTTTATGTGGTGCTGGGGATGGAACCCAGTGCCTCATGCGTGCTAGGTGAGAGCTCTACCACTGAGCCCCAGTCCCAGCCCCAGCCACCTCTTCTATTAATTTGTAAGAGCTACTTTCTAACTAATTATGCATTTTTCTTATCTAATGGTCTTTGTTTTGAGTGCAGTAACTTTTTGAATCTATGGGTACTATCTACCATTGAATTGTTTTATTTTGTTCATGTTTGTTTGTCTTAATTTCTTTCCTTCCTTTGAAGGCTTTTCTCAAGTTTCTGATGCTCCTTGGTTGTCTATTCATATTTCAATGCCAGTTTCTAAATGCTAATTTTCAATTATGATATAGATGGCCTTTGTCACATGGTCATCTTCTTATTAGGGTAGTGGATTATGGTCTCTCAGTGCAATTTAGAATCAGCTGGAGAGCTTTTAAAAAATACAGAATGCTGGTTCTGCTTCCAGGAACTCTAGTTTAATTGGTCTGAGGCAGGACCAGGCATTACTTTTCTATAAATTTTCTATAAATTCTATAAAGTAGTTTTCCAAAAATTTCTAATCCGCAGAGGGTTTCAGAGCCACTGCTTTAAGAGCATGAAAAGTGAAAGTTTTGGATTTTTAGCTGGGGGGGGGGGGGCTTTTAATTTCCTGAAGAAGGATCTTCATATGTTTTGCTTAGACCATATATACTGATGTTGAGCATTTGGCATGGCAGTATGGGGGACATTGACCATATTATATACACTCAATTAATTTTCCATTTTCAACCCACACTTTATGCTCACTGTTAGTCACACCTGACTTTTCCAAATTCCCAATTTCCCTGTGGCTCTGGTCTGCAAAGTTGACCAGCTTATTTTCAGTTCAATCCATCCTCAATATACTCTAGCTTGTGGCCTTTCCCCATCATTCTTCCTGACTGTCTTCAAAATTTGTATGGATAAACTGGTCCTGGAAGAAAGGAAAATGAACATGTAAAATCCTTTAGAGGTTCTTTTAGTCATTAAACAGAAGAAACTAGAGTCTAGTGATTATTTTACAGAACATATTACAAAAACTTAGTATAGTGGAAGGAAAGTCAAGATTAGAAATGGCTGGAAAGGTAACTTATTCTGTATAATGAAGGTGGAAGGATTCAATGGAATAGAATTCAACCCTAAGCAATAGAGAATGAATATTCAAAGAAGATACAGGAAGGTCTATAATAATTCAGGAGGGAATCCATAGAACTTCCAAAGACAAGAATTTTAATTTTATTGCTCATATGTAAATATTCTGTCTCCCCACACAAGTGCCTTTGACAATGTAGGTTTTTTCCTATCTTTTCATGGAAGTCAAAGAAGCATAAGTAGAACTTGAATGAATATTCATCTGTGTTGATATCTGGCAGAGAAAAACAAATTTGAAGCATGGACTACTAAACTATAACAAGGAAAATATCAAGCCCCTTCTTGGTAGTACCAGGAGCAACACCACCATTATGAAGGTGTGAGGCAGTTTTGCCAAACTCCCTAAAAACAGGCTTCCTCTGCAGATGGTAAATTACATCTGTGTAACACTTTTCTTAAAATATAATTATAGCCCTTTATAAGGGACTAAAAAGATGGTAAAGAAGGTGATTTTTTAATAATCACCAAATCCTGGGAAGTTAGAACTTAATGCTTCCTTTGTAACCTTTATTTCATTGCTTCTGCTTATACAACCAGGAACAAATCAAGTGGACTCTGAGGCTAGACCTTAAGACCGATTAGCTGCGTTGCCATTAGTCATGTTCCACGATGAAAACAAGAGCACATGCCCTTGACTTAAAACCCTGAGCATGAAGTTGAAGGTGAAGAGACGAGAATTTGATGAGGAAAAAAAAAAAAAAAAAAGATTGAAGTAATTATGCAAGTAGACATTCATGCTTTACCAAGTACAGAGTCAGTACTTACTAACAATGAAGGCAGTAAATACAGCTCATTGTCTTAAATGGCCTAAGATTATTTATATCTATTCTTTCCAATTTTCTGGCTGAGCAGCATGTGCTTAAAAATCAAAGGAGGCTTGGCAGCAGCCACTGCACAGACCCAATCCCATAGGCTTCCTCGCCTCGCTCCACTTTCTCTGCAACCATGTCTGACAAAGCTGACGTGGCTGAGATTGAGAGATTCAATAAGCAGAATTTGAAGAGGGTGGAGATACAAAAGAAGAATCCACTGCCTTCAAAAGAAACAATTGAACTAGAGAGGCAAACAGATGAATCATAACGAGGCATGTATGCCAAAATGCATTGTATGTTCCTCAATCATCGCCTTCTTGTTTCACTTCTTTGGGTTATTTAACACTGTAAGATGCGAAGAGGTTGGATCAGGTTTAAATGACTGTGCTGCCTCCTTTTTGCCTGAAAGGACTGAGAACAACTGACAATGGAGGCCTCCTCTGTCTGCCTCCTCCATCTGCCTGTCTGGCTGGCTGGGGAGGAAAAGTACTCACACATTGGTGAAGGAAGAAGTTGGGTGGGATGACAGTGAACTAGGGTCAAAACTAAGCTGGTCCCCGGAATCTTCTTGAAGGATATAAAACATAGCATAAAAAGAGTGTCATTTTGTTGTTGTTCAAATTATCTTAATTATTTAGAATGAATTGACCTAGCTTCACATACATATATTATAATTGTCACAGCCCTCCTTGAAAACGAAAATTGGTATTGATGCAAAGACATATCTTTATTAATATAATGAGGCTTTGCAGGAGTTCTGGAGTCAGGGAAGATAATTTATTATAAAGCATAAATTGATCTGAAATGGATGATATGTCTGTATATCTCAAAGTTCACCCTTGTAAACTTTGGTTAAGTTGATCTCTCAAAGTCTTGGCTGCCTTGTTGAAAAATCTTATATAATAGCTGTATTCTCATTATAAGGTCACCATGATGACCCTTTGTGATGAAGGAAGGCATGTAAAGCACATAGCACAGCCTGCTCCTTGGTAAGCACTCAATAAAAACAATTATCAGTATTCTCCATGTTCCTAACACTCTGTGCAATCGCTATGCCTTTTGCTCATATCAAGGATCAGCAGCGCTTCAACATATAGCAGACCTCTCAGCCCCGACAACACACCTCTAAATAATAGGAACAAAAGCAATAATGAGAAATCAGTACTTTACTAAAGATTTTGTGTTGTTACAGGGAAAAGCATTCCTCTCTCACACTGTGTGGAAAATCTCCTCTGTTTTCCCAGGAAATGCATCTCTTGCCTATAGCTGATATACCCTACCTCTGCTCCCCTGTGGTGGCACAAGATAAGAGACCAGCAGTTACCTGAACTCCAAGCAGTATTAGTTATCAATATGCCAAGGGATGAGGGAGGGAGTGGCTCATCCTGCCTCTAGACCTTATCAAAACTAATGTCAATATTTCCCTCAAAATGTCAGTAGCAAGAATCAAATTTTACAAATAGAATAATATCTTAAACATTTGGAAAAACTTGCAATGCAGGACCAATTCAAATGTCACCTCTCCTATAAAATTGTTCTGAACTAAGCAGAGCCAGGCATAAGAAGAAGAGCTAGTTACAAGTAAGGAATCCTGGTTCTGCTGGTAACTAGCTATATGACCTTAGGAATATCCTTGTATTCTTCAGTTTTGTCATCTGGAGGAAATATTGGCTAAATTATTCCTAAGATACCTTCTAACTCAAAAATCACATCATGATCTTCCTGCAAATACAATAAGCAAATATTAAAGCAAATCTTTCTTTTATCTCATTTTTCAAGGTATCTTTCAAATCCGTTTGTTTAAAGTAAGCTATGCCTTAATTATGCTATCTAAACTCAGGGAAGCCTGTATCCACACAATACAGGCCTGTGGCACAGGCTTAGACATGTAATAAAGAAAAGTAAGGATACATTGCGTATGGTTTCATTTACCTAAATTGAATGCCAAGGAAGCAAATTCCATCTATATATACAGAGCTAACTCCTCTGTAGAAATATTTTCCATACCAATGTTGTCTCTCAGTGGAATCTGAAGGTGTCCCCTGCAACACCTGAGTGTCACATTGAAGGGGAATAATAATGATATTTTCTTTCACATGTCTAGCTCAAAGAAATGTTAAAAAATGTTGGTGGAACGAAGTTCAAATGAAATTACCATTAGTACAACTTTTAAAAATGAGAAGTGACTAGGCTTTTCCTTCCTTTGTGAAGTCTTCTGATTGATGCACTGTAAGGATGATGGGATGATTCAAACTGAAGCCAGTGGAAAAGAGACTGGTAATTAATCCTTTGACGGGATTCTCTGAATTCTGAGTTGCTTTTAATGTTTTTTGCTAATTTTGGAAGAATCAATCTCAAATCCATTGAATTCCAAATAGCCAGAAGACAGGAAGAGAAATCATTGGACCTCTACTAAAACTACTTCCTTTTAAATAAAAATCCATTTACCCATAATGTCATTGATTCTTCTTGTGGCTAACATAAATATAGAATAATAAATTACTATTTTATATAAAATTATTAACCCAGGCAATTGCTTCCAGAATAATTCTATTACAGGGATAGCTTTATGACTGATTTTTAAGTATCATCAATAATGATTCATGATCTATGTTAAGAAGTCTGCAGGCCTTTTTACTTTCTGTTTATAGAATAAGCATCAAGACCAAAGAATCTGATTTCTCCATGGTTAGTGCAGTACTGGCTTCAGGCTTCCTTATACTTTGAACTGCGTAGTGCTGGATATTTCCCCAAATAAGAACTTACTATTTCTTTCAAATTTTATGTTATAGACTATCACTTTTTATTATCAAAGCTCAATGAAGTCTCCCAGGAACCCACCCTTTCTCTTTCTGCTTATGAACTAGATGTCCTTATGTGCAAGGTTTTTTGGGAAAAAAACCAGCCCACTAATAATTTTAACCAGATCTCCCTAGGTTTATCAATTCTCCCTTTAATGATGTTTTCACCAGTTATTTAATAAGATACCTTGGAATATAGTCTTTTTGTTACCAGAGATCTGGTTTTGGGAAGGGTGGGTTCTAACAGACCCAACACTTGCCCCCAAGACCAAATGGAAAAAGTGATGGTGAAGTAGGAAAGAAATGTATTCTTAGTGTGTCCACACTGGGAAGACAGATCTAAAGTGTTTCATGGTATTAACAGTAGCTTTGGGGTAAAATATGGAAAAAACTGAGGGGGTTTTCATAGCCAGCAATCTTGCTCAGACAGGTCATCATTTGGTTGATCACTATCCTAAGACTGATCATGTATCCTTGTCAGACCATGGAACTCTGTGCTGGTAAAACAGTTTCAACTCTTGTCACAAGATATTTATTGTTTAGACCCTCTAGCCAAAAAGGAAAGAGGGAATTAGTTCTGTCAATGATGGAGCCTCCCTTCAGGTTTAGGGCTATGACTGGGGGACTTCAAAGGGCTACTTAATGGGTCTAGAATAGGACATTATAAAATCTGACAAGTGGCAATCTGTTCATTATGATGTTCTTATAAATTTCAAAAGTATCTTAGTTACTCTTTCTTATTTTGATGGTTTCCAACTTGAAGATGAAGGATTACCCATCCAGAGAACATTTTTTCAGTGATTAACATGCACAGTTAAATAAGAATCTGATCAGAAGTTTAAGGTAGCGAAAAGAGAGAGAGATGCCATATGAAGGCACAGATGTCGAAATTTTATCCTCTTTTTAGTTATTTATCAGACATCTGCCGGCCCAAGTGAAGAGTCAGTGCTTTTAACAAAAGAGACTTTAAGTCCTTGTTATACTTTCCTTACACCTTGTTCATCATTCATTTCAGACAAATCTACTCAAAATATCATGAAGCATAACTCTTTAAATAAGATTTCACAATTAATTAGCTTTATACATCAAACATATCAAAACTATCAGATTTTTGGTTAAAAACACATACTTGCAGAACAATTAAACATCCCTGGAATCTACCTATGAAATTATTCTAATAAAAACTATAACAACTGAAGGCAAAGTTTATTCTACTTATTTTTATTAATGCTATGATCAAAGTAGGTACTCCAGAGTATTTTTTAATTAATTTCATTACTAAGGGCAAAGCATATTAGGAAATTTATCTATATATGTCTTATTGTTTTAAAGACTGGATGTTTCTGTACTTTTTAATTAGAGAATTATCTCTAAGCAAATGGTTGGATCTTATGGAATGGCTACAATGAGACAGTTGTGCAATAAGCTATTTTAGATTGGGGAGATTAGAGAGAAATGTTAGGAGTCATAGTTTTCTTTTTGTCTTTTCTTTTACTCTATCTTAATTGAGTTATCTATTCAATGAGAGTAATGTTTCTTGGGACATCCACTTTTTTCTCTTCAGAAAAAATGCAGTGTCACACCAACTCAAGGTGGAATAAAACATAAGACTATTGTCTGGTCAACATGAAGTAGATTAAGATATAATGTGGGCCCCACAAAGACAGTGCTCAGGAAGACTTCACTCAGTGCAGATTAAATTGGTAAGGGGGACACATGAAAGACCTCAAAGTACTCATCAAACAAAGGAAATATGTTTTTAGTGGAACTGGAAAAACAGGATATTTTTGTTCTTTTGTTCAGTGGATATTTATGATCTGCTATTACTTATTATGATCAAGTATTATTTTAGGAACTGAGTATGAAGAACAAAACTGACATGTTCCCTGTCCTTAAGAAAGATATAGTCCAATAAAAGATATAGTCACAATTTAAAAATGATAATATTCAAATACAACTTCTGGTGAATGTAAAGGAATGACAAACTTGGTAAAATGACAGAAAATTTAAAGGTAGCCTCCTTAGATATCATGATTTTTCTGCCTTTGTAGGGCAGACCTTCTACTTGAGAACTGTAGAATGAGAGAAGACCAGTTTTACAAAGAACAGGGAGGGTGAATGCTCAAAAATAGAGATCCACAAACATTCTGTAATGTGACAAAGAGTAAGTATTTTCATGTTTTACAGGCCATTTGCTTCCTGCTGCAACTAATCAATTCTGGCATCAGAGTATGAATGAACCTAAACCAAAGGCCGTGGCAATGTTCCAATAAAACTTTATTGAAAAAAAAAAACAAGGCAATGGGCCAGATTTGATCTAGGAGATACACCTTTTGAGTTCCTGCTCTAGCTGGATGTGTTACCTGGGCAAATGTTGTGACATGAGGCAAGGATTGCTGTGTCGAGAAAATGATAGAAGACTGGTATGGATAAAATCAAGTAAGTGGGAATTGAGGGGCATGAAAAG